CCGAAATCCACCGCGGTCACGTTTAATTTAATTTAAACTTTACGCCGTGGTCCCTCGAGGGCGATTTCTTTACCGTCGTATATCGACCAAGGCACTGGCGCTCGAATTTTCGATTTCCAAACGGGCCTTAACCGCGGTAACGTATACCGCAACGAAACCAAATAAGAATATTATTAATCCTTTTTTTTTTCCCTACTGTATATATTCGATCGGTCCCCGCGGAGAGACGCTAAACGTATACAATATAGTCGTACCGATACAATATAATAATATTATAATCCCTCGGCGGGCCGAGGAGATTTAACAACGACGTATAATAATACGCGAGCGAGGCTCCGCGTAAAGTCGACGGCGGTGCATCGATATTAGTGAAACGGATGAAAAAATCAAAATAAAAAAAAACCGAGTTGAACGTATAACCCCTCGTCCGGGGACGAGTATACGTATAATGTTATACGTTTTGTTTGATATTCTCGACGTCTGTATGAAAAAAAAAAAAAAAAAATATACGTTTATATGACGTATTATATTATACTATATACGCGGTCGCGGTCGTCGACCGGGCGGCGTGCAGGTGCGCTACGCGGCTGTGACGGGACCGAGATTATAATACACTTATTTGTACGAGGGGACCGATACCGAATACACAATATTGAGGAGACGGGTATTTTTTTTTTTTATTTTTTTTTTTTTTTTGCGGGGGAGACGCGTAAAGACACCCTTTTGCTCTTATAAATAATAATAGTATAAAATATAATATACGAAATTCGTGGGCGCGTACAAAAGAAACGAGCCCGCGCGGTATACTCTCCGGTCACGAAACACAATACGGGGACCCGGTCGATCTCGGTGTTCGGCTGCAGGAGGGCAGAAAAGCGACCGTACGGTGTTAAAAAAAACACCGTACAGCGGACAGGAGGAGGGTCCTCTCCGCACGCTAAACACTCTTGGGTCGTCTTCGGCGGACGAAACGGGCAAATCAACCGCTGGTTGTAGCCGAGGCTAAACGGACTCGGTTTGACGGAAAAACAAAAAAAAAAAATAGAGGAACATATCGCTAAAATCGCGCTATTCAGCGATGAGTGCGCAATACGCATTGGTGTATTGCGTATTCACTTCAATCAGCTTAAGGTGTGAAACGAAAAAACCACTTTAGATTTTCAAATGGCAACCTATATTAAAAAGTTCCACAAATTGATGGAATAGGTAAATGTTGGGTGTGGAATATATTTATTTATCAATTAGATTTCCGTCAATTCGTCAAAATTCCAATCAAACATTTCAAAATCAAAATGAGTTTAAACTAATATAACTCCATCCGACAAACATAATGATAATGTAACGTTTTAAAACTATTTTCTTCTAAAATTTTCAAAAAAAAAACAAAATTGATTTAAAAAAGTCAATGCTTTTGTAATCATGAATGTTTTACGTTCAATTAATCACACTGTACCCGAAAAATTTAAATTTAGACTTTCGATTCAAATTATATCATTTAAATTTTCTCGACGTAAGTTGAATTAAATTCATTTTCTTTTTTTTAAATCCCGGAATTACAATCAAATAGTAATTATTATTCTATTGGGTTGTCGCTGCATTAGCTCTCGTAGGTACAACGATCGGAATACTATTAAATATTTGGACAAGTCTTTGAAAAAACCTTTTTTTTTTTTTTTAATTACACCACACACTGACCGACGTGGACGGGTTTGGGTCACACTAAAGATTGAATAAAACCTTTTTTTTTTTTCATAAATATTTGCTCTCGCTCGACCTTTTTCCCGACAGCCGCAGGCCTTTATAATTTACGCGAGTATTATTGACGTAAAATAAAATCTATCGGTCGACTCATATTATATATGCATACGTAAACCGACTCTAAAAAAAGAAAAAAAAAAGGCACGTACGTTTTACTTTCGTCCGTGTATATTATACTGATGTTTTCTATCTCGTCCGGTCGTCGTTTTAATCGATAAACTGATAATATTATAATATTGAAATGACAAATTTGTACGGTTTTTTTTTATTATTAACTCCGCATTGTTTTCTCTGCCGATTTTCTCTTATTTTCACGTTGACATTTACGTAAAAAGTTTGAGCCGATAAATCGCCGTGTAAAAAAAATAAATTATAAGATACTACACGTCGCATAAATATGTTATATAGATCTGTCGATCACCCGGAAGATTTCAATATCGATCACCCTTTGTACGAACTTATTTTCATACAATTAATAGATAAATCAAAATCGTCGATGGTTTTGTCTTAATAGATCATTATTATTTTGTTGTCTGTTTATCGAACAACGCAGTTCGACAGTTTTTATACTAGCGATTTTTCTTTATATAATATATAAATACAATATTTGAGCTATACGGTAGGTACCAGTGATGTTCCGATGTACGAACCCTGATTTTTAACGCCTTGCTTTGCCGAATGTACATTTTTCAATTCGAACCTAATCGCACTGTCAATAATAACATGTCGCGTTATTCAGAACGACATTAAAATCATAAACCTGTAGTTCCGTAATTTGATGGCGGAAGTTCCGTTATCATGTGCGTTTTTACGTTTGAAATTAAATACATAAAGCATAATGCATGATATAGCAACGGTTATGATTATTTATATGTCATAATTTCCTCAAGAATATTAAATAACGACCTTAACAATGTAAATTCATTATAAAATGTATTAATTTTCCATTATACCGCATGATTATTGGTCATGATTACTCAATAAAATAATCAACGATGCAATTTAATATTATTATTTGTAACTGTAATAATATTATGTACAACGTATGTGTGCGAATAAAATGCATTAATGATATTTAAATTATATCGATACAACTATAGTACGCTTAAGTAAAAAATGACCAAGTAAACCGCGTTTTGATTTTTTGTTGTTTTTTTTTTTTTTTATGTAAGAAGCATTTTTAACAAATTTTGACGAAAACCGTAAATATTACGAGCATTTTAAAACACGTGTCACCGAACTTCGTTCAGAATCGTATTTCATTAGCAACGGTTTAATGTTGCTTACAGATATAAATTGAATAACTTTTATGTTCCTATCTTTTACCCTGTCTTCGCAATTTCTCACCTACAAACTTCGCACATCCCACAGCGGAATCAGATTTTTTTATTATATTTAAATATTTATCACAAGAAATACAAATCATTTATTTAAAAATAATAAATGATTCTGAATTACGGATTTCATTGTGTGCGAGGAGTTAATACGTGTTTAATTTATTGCCGACTTCCCTTGCTCTTGATAAAAAAAAAAACCCCCACCGTTAAATGTTCAGACAACCGACGACATCGTTATTATAATCAATTTTATTCGTTTTCCATTGCTGTTTCGAAATAATTATACAAGAGCATTGACGAAGATATTTTTTAATGATGACAATAATACGAGACCTCGCCAGATCGTCTCATCTTCCGGTATACGCAATGCTTAACATTGTACCGATTTCCTCGGTTTTCCTACGTTTTTCCCGGCTTTCCCATGTATTATTCCCAGTTTTTCACACTTGCTGGAAAACTCTCGGGATAATCGAATAACGACCTCCCTATCGTAGCTCCCCACACCGATTTTCTTTCAGAAAAAGAGCTACACGTGAAAATCGGAACAAGTCGGAACAAGTGGAAAAATTGTACACTGAAAAAAATAAAAAATAAATAAACATCTTTGTGAAACCATAAGCTTCTTCGCTCCAATCAGAATGTAAAAAAAAAAAAAAAATAATCGCCCTCTACTCTCGGCCAAATATTTTTATTTTCCCGGACGATTAACATTTTATAAAATATATATTTTATCGAAATTTTATACAAAATATATGACTTACGCCAAAGTTGCCAACCTATCCTAGCCTAGCGATAAATCATTTTCGTTGACCTCCGTGCGGGTTTTCAAGTGCGCCGTACACTGTACAGCGAACAGGTAAAAAGTCGACGGTATAACGATGATGTTTCGAAACAGCAGACACTATAATATACAATGTAATGCAACTTCCTCGTAAGTTGTTTGCAGTAAATAAACAGTACAAATTATTATGGACATCGTCCGGCGTATTAATGATATTGTAATTTCGTAAATAGTATTATTGTTTATTTGAACGCAAATTCGATTCAGTTTTCAATGTCACAAAGTCTGATAATAATAATATGACGTGTGCACGTTTATATCGCAGAAAAACGTGATGTTCGTTTTGTACACATTATTATTCTTATTACAACAATGTTAACAGTACAGTTTGTGTTTACTGATATATTTAAAAAAAAAAAAAAATTAAAAAAAAAATACGTACTTTAACCATACTCTCTCTGAGATCATAATCTAAAATAAGACAAGTTAAGACGGTTGAAGAAAAAAAAAAAATAAAAATTAGTCAAGAATAATATTAGTTATTAAGTTCAATAACTAATGCAATAATCAAACAATTTGTTTTTTTTATTTAACTAAAACCTGTTTGTATATAAAATAAAAAAACGTGCCAATTATAGATACAATATAAATTTATTACATAAATACAGGCGGGTACTATTATATATAATTATTTTGTAATCGATGTTGATTTTGTGCATAAAATTACTGTCGGCGAATAAAAATATTGTGCAACGATCTGCCCCTAGCCACTGCAGCACCATGCGCTATAATATTTTGCACAACAAAATTTATCTCGTCTGGACGTCGTCGCCGGTTTTTATATCTGTGTCCCGAACGCAATAAACACACTTACTCGCTCATACGGTTTTGTTAACGTTCCAACCGACAGCGTATTATATTTTCTACTCCGGCGGACTATTATCGAGTAACATTCGAACGTGAGCAGCGTTTTAAATGAAAACGCTGGAATAAATTCCATTCCGCGTGCGTGCAAAGTTCTTTGATTCTTTTTTTTTTTTTGGTATATTTTAATTTTTACGAGAGACATAAGCACTTTAAAATTTCGATATTTTAAACACCATCATATCTCACTTAAAAATCGAAATAACGAAAACTCAGGGACACGTGATAATGTTCTTAACTTTAAGTACGGTGATACGTAAAATGACTCTACAGTACTAAAGCGGACAACACGAATCGTTTATGTTGCACGCGAGTCAAAGACAAAACAAATAGTGCGCCGACATCCACTTAAGAATCTATGTTTAATACAAATCATGTTACTAGTAAGTAATGCATAGTCCTCCTTGTCAACCAAAACAACAACCGTAACTGTATGCATTATCAACAGTGATTAAAGTGTGGGGACTCAGTACCCTATATGATTTAAGGTGAAATTTTAGTTTAAGTCTTCGGTGTCCGGGGAGGGTGTTAACAATAATTTATGGTCTGTTTGAAATTAAATAAACATATTTCATGGAATTGTTTGATAAAAAATGTATATATTTATGTACACGCCCAGTACATAGGTTTTTGTTTTTTTTCATCCATGCTATCAAATTGGTTCGTCCTATTTCAAGCCACTAATAGACCGGTAGACAGTCAGGTAGACTGTTCATTTTAAGTTTCTATGGTATTTTTATTTCTGTTTACTATTTATTTTTTATTTTTTTTTGTTTTAGATTGTTTTTCATTTTAACCGTGTAACTAAAATAACCCATAATTCAACAAAAGTAATTTAATTTTTATACCCAGAATCTTTCATACCCTTCTAGGTCATTAATGGAATTTTTATTAATATTTAATGGTAAACAATTTGTTAAAACAAACAGTATTGCAATTTATTTCGTTGTCATAAAATTATATAGAGTGTCCAATTTAAATTTGTCGAAATATGTTGAACCGAATTATTTGCTTCCTAGTCGTTTTTCGTTTGTACAGATTTATCATTGCGTACTGATATGAACTGCATTACGTTTTACGTTACCGACTAACAAAAGTGACTTACCCATTGTACAGGGTTTGTCGGCTTTTTTAAACTCGCTTTATTGTTATAATATACCCTAATAATTTTTGATGTTTGCCCTAAAATAATAATTTCACCATCCCTTGCCGGTTTTTTTTTTACCAATAACTGATGTTTGAAAATTTAATATACGTACATTGGTCAGAACAAGATATCGTCGAGCAACAGCTGATTTTAGGTATAATACCATTTTCGGCCGTACCTAAGCAAAAACGAGAAGAAAATTAGTTTTGCCGAACGAATAAAAAGAGGGTGCCAAAACATAACAATGACAAGCACATAACGTACAACAACAAATACTCTGTAGGGATTTTTTTTTTTTTTTTTAACCAGCAAAACTCGTAGTTGTACAAGAGAAACGTTTAAACGATTTAAGTTCTTTTTAGGTATAACGTCGGTTTAAATTTAGTAAAACGTTCGTGTTTACAATATTAATATGATCGTTGTCGTCGTCGCCGTTGCCGAGGAGCGCATAACGCGTCGTAATAATAATATTATTATATTTACGTATGGCCGCGTACGAAAACGTAATAAATTACACGACTTTCGTATAAAAAAACCGACGGCTCAACGCGGTCGGACGAAGGGACCTCGGGCGGTGTCCCAGGCGAAGAAGCGACGATATTTCCACGGCGTTTTTTTTTTTTCGCTCTCCTCGAGAACGTTTTAATTTATGCGCTGCGCCGCCGCCGCCGAGACGGAGTAAAACAAAAAAAAACAAAAATAAAAAAATACCGAAAAAAAAAATAAAAAAAATTAAGTAAGTGCGCGGCACGCGGTCGGTAGAGAGGTGTGTTGATACGAGGCCCATTAATTTGATTTACTGCGGGGCGGCTCTCGTGCGGCGCGGCATACGCTGTTAATGAAAGCCACGAGAACCGCACCGCCGCCTGCGCATAAATTAGACGCCGAAAGCTCTCCGGGAAATTCCTGCTGATTAATTACTCGGCCGCTAATCGGCGACACCGAGTGCGCAGAAATCGGCAACGCGTGTTTTTTGTAAGCCGCGCGGCCGATGTTATCGCGTGCCGGCGACGTTTGTGACTTTTTACCGCGCGGCATGATGGCAGCGTGGGGGCGAGAGACGGTCCTCGGTTTTTAACGTTCCTAAACGTAAATGTTTAGAGAATCGCGCGCGTCCCCGTCGAGTCCGTGTACAGCCACCAGTACACTGCGGCGGCGTAAGAGGGGGCCAAAATTTAATCTTCTTCCTTTTTTTTTTTTCTAAGAGGCAGCGGCCTTTAAATCAGCGCCCCCGAGCGAACACGGTGTTATTGAGCTGATTCCCGAGACTTACAATTTGTGTTAGTTAATTTCCGGGTTATTAAGAAGTACGTACGAGTCGATTCCCTCGTTGTTGTTTGTCGTTAATATGATAAATGCATATGATAATACGTTGAATGAATACTTCGGTCTATTGGCGTTTCCCAAGAGACATTAAAAACTGATATCTGGTAATAAGATTACCAAAATATATTTTTCGATCACTTCTATCATACAGAATTTTTTTTCTCGGTTTTTTTTGGATTTTCTAGTCCTATTGCTCCTGCATTTAACATACGTTTCCGACTGCACTTCTAACCGCTTATCTGTACATTTAAAAAATATTCGGACTATTCGTAGTTTTGTTTATAGTAGCGGAGAATATTTAGCCCATGTACATGGACGGAAAACTCGGTTCTGGGGAAATCTGTAGGGCAGTCGATAACTTTTGTCGGGCTTAAAAAGGATAGGCTTACCGATACACGACAACGAGGGAATCAACTCGTACATAACCCATTGGCCGTGGAATCGGTTAAACGGGCGGAACCCCATTCGCCAAAAAACGACGAAAAATTTTTTTCGGCCTTGTATGGAGATATTCTAAAGCTGTTCGTTACACGGCGACTAATATCGGATTCATCATACGGACCGCGGCTGTGTTCTCCAGGTGTAGAAACAAACGAATTGTTTTCGTCCGCGTGCAATTGTAGCGTCACACGCTCCCGTCACGCATCTCCAACGGACGGAGTCGTCTATTTTCTCCGTGTCGGACCGCAACTATATTTAAAACTTCCGCAGAGCACCGTGCGGTGACCCGCCCAATCGAACGGTATCGGCGCAGGTAAACGGGTACCTGGGAACCGACTCGTACGCGGCCGGCGAACGCGCTTCCGTCTGTTTTCGTCGTCCGCCGTCACTCCCCGTCACACTACGGGTTCCGTCGCCCCGCATAACGCGCGTCTCCGACACCACAGTGCTCCGTCCGAAACCAGGGCCTTTTTTTTTTTTTTTTTTTTTCACTATGCGATGGTCGCCGTTCGCTATCCCGTCGGGCTGTTTTCGAACATAGTCCGCATAATCGATGTTCTCCAAACGCACGGCCCGCCCGTTTCCTTTTATTCTTCTCGTCGGCGTCTCTAACGCGCGTCGTCGTGACAGCGTAACAACGTCGAACGGAGCCGACAGGGTCCGATTACCGCAGTCGTCGTTAATTGCATTGTTTACCTTGCTGGCGAAACGCGCACAGCAGTAAAATCCAGTAAAACAACGGTAATCAATAATGATTCGTTTCGCGGACGCGTGTGGCCGCGTAGTTGTAAAATAATAATACGCGGCGTACAAGCGAAAATCCCGTTCGGTCGGGCCGTCAGCCGCGCGGGACGCGGGACGCGTGCGACTGAAAGCCGCCGCCGGCGCCCCGCGGCCCCGCGGCCCGTTTAACACCTGACTAAACAACTAATTATCGAAAAACCACTGCGGTGAAAGAGCCGACGACGTTACGGAGACGACGATCGCGTGCAATGCGCCGGGAGGGCGCGGAACGTTCCGGGCGGCGGTTTAATTGATAACAATAAACGGAAATAATTGCGCTTTGTGCGGTCGCCGGGTCGCGATTTTCTTTGTGCCCGCGCGCGTACGGCGCGGCAACCGTCGTCTATAAGACAATAATAAATCGAATCCCGCGGTCTTTTCCCGGTTTTCCGCGGCAGAGGCCCCGGGGGCGGCGCGGGGCCGTGATAGAGAACGCGCTGTAAAAAAAAAAAAAAAAAAAAAAAAAAAAAAATGACGAAAACAAAATTACAAAAAGGGTTCGGTAAACGTCGTCGTCGTCGTCGCGATCGTCTCGTCGGGTAATTGGATGGCGGCGGCGTTAAAAAACCGCTCGCCGTATCAAAATATATATATATATATATATATATTTTTTATTTATTGTACGTGTATCCGTTTTGCGCGAGGACAACCGTAGCCCGGCCCGTCGTAAATCAAACGCAACCGGCACCGTGAACCGATTATACGCAAAAATATACGAACGGGGAACGCCGTCTCGTCTCACCGCAGCATCATAACCGTACAACATACGCGGTTTTTCATTTTAATTGTCGCGTCAGGTAAAAAAAAAAAAAAATTGAGGAAAAACGCGACGGCCGCGGCAATGGCGGTTTTTAGCAGAGGTCGGGCGGCGTGATCAGAATTTAAACTCAAAATGTTTGTGAAACAAAAAAAAATAAACCGCACATTATACTTAACGTTCAATTTTCACATTCTGAGTGAAGCGATGAACGCGTCGGTTTTACAATGATGTTCATTTTTATATTTTTTTTTTAATCTACAAACGACTTTTCGACCAGAAATCTTGTTCCAATTTACAATGATAGCACTTTTTATGAAAGGAAACCTGACTGGGGAGGTACTTTGAGAATGTTATTTTTTTTATGGTTTTCCAGGAGTTTCCCCAATAAACGGAAAAAACGTAGGAAAATCGTGAAAACAGGTACAATATCAAACAAATATTATTAAAGAAAATATATAATACATATTTTGCCATTATTTGACATGTACACTGTCGACAAGTAACACTATCAACCGAACTCCGGTTAGAATCGTTTTTTCATTAGCAATATGGTCAATCGTTGCGCACAGATATACATTAAATTTCCCTTCCGCTACCTTCCTAAATTCTCACGTACATTAGAGTAGCCTACTCATGTTCGTAGTGTGTCCGTCTTTTATCATTTTGACCACCAAGTACAATTTATTACGAATCTCGTGTTAAGACTCGTATTCAAACAATTTCGAATTATTACCATTCGTTTTTGCTACAAAATTTAGTGGCAGTCTCGATCGAATGCGGAAGTCGTATTTTATCTTCAAAGAAATTTCCAAGTTGGCCTATAGCTGTAGTTTTGTAGCTCGGTCGCTCCGTTTACAAAACGTGCCGTTACGTACGCGTTATACAACGACTAACCAGCGTAGCTGACAGAATTATTATCTATAAAAGTGCGTTCGACTGCCGAAATAATTATAATTTCTGAATATCAAATATTTTATAGGCGACAGTTTCACAATGAACGCACAATTTAACTTTCATAAAGTTTCGTCATACTATATCTGACGCATTTCTCTAAAAAAAAAAAACAATGAAATTCAATGAATTCGCTGTTTCCAAACACTGGGTAATATAATGGTAATATCGAAACACAATATTGGTCGACATTGTGCAATAATCAACGACAGATTTATTATTGTACACCGAAAATCTAACTGAACCGGGGTCGCTGATAATAATATCAAATAATACGAAACTCTGAATTTTATAAAGACAATACATACACAGTTTAAATCGTAACGAACAAGCATTGGCCGTCTACAAACCAGTGGTTCCCTATCGTTTTGCTATAAACGACATCTTAGAAAACATTCGATAAGGCGTAGATCACTTACAACGTCAAAACAACGGTGGACAAGACGCGCTTAACGGCCGCCGCCATAATAATTTTATCCGCCACCGTCAACTTTTCTTCAATCGCCTATAACAAGCCCAAGAACATTTTATAATAAGACAATTTAGCGCGAAAAATACGGTTGATTAAAAAAAAAAAAATGTAATTCTAAACGGAAGAAAGAAAACGATTATCGCCGTCCGGGCGTAGAATATGAAGGGTTAAAAACGAGATTCGTTTTTTTTTTCTTTTTAACGGCTTGTATTTGAATGTCCTTCACGCGTATAACTATTGCGGGAAAGAAATTCTAATCAAACAAATTGTATTAAGGTCGTTGTCCGTTTTTTCTTTAAATTGTAGTCGTTTCGGTTTTATAAACAGACACTATAGAACTTAACCGTATCGGTTCGTAAATAAGTTTTGATAAATAGTAAGTATTATACGTACCTAAACGCGGGTATATTGTCTACCCGGATAGACATTCGGATAACGTATTTACAAAACCTATCCCAGTTCGACCCAAGCGGTATGTAAGCAGTGTTGAACGCAGGTATATGACAAGAGGGCAATAGCTCCCACCTGACATTTTGTTTGCCTTCCCTGTTAAATGTGGATAAATTAATAATTTTATAATTTTAAATAATTATAATAAATAATAAAACAAATTTAAGTGGTTTTAGTAAGAGGGCAGATACGCAAAGAAAAACAAAAAGGTCGTTATTATAATCTTAGTAATTTCCCCCCTCCCCATTGTCTTGATTAAATATTGTATGTAAGTCCGCAATTCGTCGCAATTTCCAATGGACTAGAGCCTAGCTGGTTTAATACACTTTGAGAACTATAACTTCCTCGGAGCATATTATCAAGTTTGGACCGACGGATAGGTTTTTATAATATATGTTTTTCTATTTCCCATCTACTTTCGTAATTTTAGGCTAAATATTTAGAACGCAACTAACATATTTAAGTTCGGACTTGAGCCTTTAATCACGAATCAATATTTTTTTTCGGCCGGACTTGAACACAAACGCATGTGCCGATAATACGAAAACTAATGGATTGTGCGGTGTCATTTAAGGAATTTAAGCTATACTCCGACAGCCCTATATTTTTTAATTTTTTCTCAGCCCGTAAAAAATGATATAACTGGGAGTGAGACGTAGGGAATTGTTACCACAGTTAATTAATATCTTGGCGAAATAAACAGGTATACCAGCAAGATAACAGTACGCGGCGGAGTAAACCAACGTATAATAAGTCAAGGATTTCATGAAAAAATTGATCATGGCCGTAGTTTAATATTAATGTTACGGTAACGTCAACGAACCTATGGTATTTGAATATGATAATTTAAAGCAGGAATACGAGTATAAGGGTGAACGATGTGAACGGACGATTTTCAGAAAAACTGGCCCGATTCGAATGTTTACATATCTGTAAAAGCCAAAAAGACGCCACTGGGGGGGGGGGTCGTGGCTACGTGACCAATCGACGTGGATGGAGATTTCCTTAAAAACTGATGTGCACGTTTAAATCCTAGGTTCGACACGAAAAATAAACTTGAATACTCTTTGTCACAAACGCCGTCCAGTTATTGTTATCGCGTCGACCGTAACATACCTGTACACTATACACGTACTAATTGTACGCGATAATCCCTACGTGCGTTTATTGTTCGCTTACACGCGGTTACACGGGACGGTTTATAATATTATCACGGTCGAATCTCCCCTAATATGCACGGTCCGAAATCCCGTTTCGTTTGATACGATCGGTCGGAATACTATTGAAATATTGTAATAATATTGTTCGACTTTTGTACGGCGCGGCGCAGTGTTGGCGTTTGGCAATAATGTATGTTAATGTATTTCCCGCAGGACGATTCGCACATCGAGCGCTCTCGTCGGTGACGGCCGCGTCGACGATCGTGTTGCAAACGGCATTTAAGTCGCCATATCCCTGTCCCGTTTAAAATCGCGGTTTAAAATACCGTCGACATTATTAGCAGACAATATTATGACAATAGGTGTCCGTGGACGTTTATTTCAGGACAAAGGACAATGGGCACGCCGCCGGTTCTCCCGCATTGACGGTGAACTTTTTCATTTATCCCGATCAGGTTGCAGATTGCTCGAGTCGTCGGTGATAACAAACAAGGCTTAGGAGGACTTGTGTACCCGTATATAACGATACTAATAACATTACGAAGTAAAAAATGTGTACAACGATAGAACATACGGTTCGCCGTATTCCATGGCAACAGAAACTCTATGACCGATACGTGTAAACGTCGTAGTGTTTAATCGCTTTTAAGGGATTTTTTTTTTTTCTAATTCAATGTAGTACATTATGTTACATTAGTTCGGTTAACCGTCGTCCGCGTCGTCGCAATGGTTTGGTTTGATTATTTACTGATCGGTGTCGTTGGAGCCACAATTATTTGGTTCGTGAAAGATCGCAAAGAAGCCGATAAACTTAACGGCGTTCATCACTACAGTGGATTTAACAAAAATAAGGAAGAATCTGAGAAAGAATCGTACACTAGTTCGGCGGACTCTGCAGTTGTGTTAGACAAACATTTCGAACATTTCGATAATCTCGAAATTAACGACGAGCTCGCGGTGAGTGGAAATGGTAGTCTACGTGACAACAAAGATTGCAATAATGCAATTCTAAACGGAATCGACGCTGAAACGAAGGTGGGCGATTGCCATTACAACAGTTCTGTTACAGACGACGACGACCATGAAATCCGCGATTACGATTTGCTACTGGCTGACGAGATTTTTAGTTCTAGTGATTGTCAAAGTCTATGTTCTGACAATTCTCTCGATGACATTAAGTTTGTGGAAGACTATTCTGATAATGGTAGCGTTATCAATGTGACAATAGATTCTCATATTTACAACCCAGATTTCATTGAACCAAATGAATAGGTACTATTTCAAATAAAAATCAACCATTGTAACTTTCAAAAAACAAAAAAAAAATAATAATAATTTATTGGTTTGTAAAAATAAAAAAAATAAAAAACTAATAAATCGTTGTAAAGCAATATTGCATAAAAACTAAAATTATTGACTATAGGCAGGATTAGGAGGTAGATATTTTGATAAAATCGTGTTTTTAAAAACTTCGAGAGCGTTGGGACACGAGTTAGGATTAACTAATCAATACAAAATTTTGTGTAGGCGGATTATTTTCAAACATATTATAGAACAAACTCAAGGGGATCAGATTAAAAAAAAAAAATTGCCCATACAACTAAGGAGTTGTCCTTGGTCACTTAGGAGTGCGACCCTATTTTATTATTACATTGCATAGCACTGTTTGTCTACGTTTTCGACTCTACATAAAAACTAGCAAAGTGCTACGACGGTTTAAAAAATAAAACTAGGCATTACTAGGTATTAAATTTTTACTAGGTAGTTTTTTCGTACATTTTTAATATGCGCGTGTGTCGTCTTCGGCAAGACGTGTTATTTGTTGGTACTTCGAACCCCAGGAATAAAACATAACGCATCGATCCTTCGAATTTCTCAGGCGGACCGTTCCCTGCGTAATAGGGCCGCGCATACCTCCGGAGACTTTTACAATATTATATTTTACGCATATACATATACCTGCCTAACTTTGTATAGCGAATTCCGGAACGATCGGCGGGCGTATTTCGAAAGGTCGAAAGAGGGACTCTGCGCGGCGATCAATTACGCTTTTTATATTCGAATATATCCAAAACGTATTGCCATTAAATAAACGCGAGACCCCGCGCCCGAGTGATGTGCGGGAGCGGGCATCGGACGGAGAAAACTTTTCGTTTTACCCCGGTGGCGGCGGTATAAAATTACACGCGGACGGCCCCGAGTAACACAATATCCTTTGGGTCTCTTGACGGGCATCTGAAATCGGAGGATTTTCGCCGTGTACACGCCACTCGTCCGCACATTTCCTCGTTATAAGCTCTTGACCCGGGATTTCGTCGGGCTGCAGAATTCTTTCTGGACGACGCGCGCGCGCGAGAGAGAGAGAGAGAGAGAGAGAAAGAAAAAATCGCCGACCGTATTATACGTACGTACGCCGGGGTCACATTTACGCGCGCGTTATTGTACACTTGCACGGATTTAAAAACCCCCGAGGTAAACGATCGATTTTGTACGACTCCGTGTATAATATCGTATCGTCGTGCGACGACGCCGGGGGCGATAATAAGCGTAAAACTAATTTTATATTCCCGACGCGTGCACGTATAAAAATAAGGTTCGGCAACTGTCATTACGCCGCTGCCGAGGTGTGGCCTTGGCCGGAACGAGCCGTCTCTCATTAGGCTTATTATTTATATAGTTCGGATGTGTATATGGTGTTTTTTTTTTTTTTTTTTTCCGGACTTCTGAAATCGTATATCATACAAAAGCCGCGATCCGTCCGTAAAGTTTTGTTGATTTATCGCGGCAACCGAATAAAAAAAAAATCTACCATAAGCCGTCTCGTATCATTGTGACGGAAGGTACACTGTTATGCAGAACTATCATATCATATATAAATATATGTATTCCAGAGTTCTTGTTGCCAATGTTCTTAAAACGCATTAAACCAGAGAAACACACGTTATATTATTAGAATAATGAAATTTGTTCGATCATGGGGGAGGTGGGCGGTCGAGGCGCGTATACATGCGATACATCCCTCCCTTCATTACCTTATTTTTCTTGAATATTCATAATAGTTTGTTTCGCATTATACTTTTACAGTTATAAAAAAAAAAAAACATTTCCTAAAAATTATCCATTTCCCTCTACCAAAATGGCAAAATCATTTGACCGCTACTGCGTGACCCTTTCTCCATTCCGCCGATTCGCGACATTGTTATTTTAAATTTCGTTGCTTTATAAGCGGCCATCACTATACGTCACAAACTCGAAATTTTTACTGAAATTAAACCAAATTGGCTACCTATTTTATGTGTACATTTCTATTTTTTATTTTTGTGAACTACTTTTTACATGACAGTTCTATTCGCACATAATGCCAAATGGTAAACCCGAAAATGTTAAATCCGTATAAATAGTTGAAAAATCGCCAGAATATTTTGAAAACTCAACCAAAAATTTGGGAATATAGGATACAGAAAGGAATGATATATATATATATATATGTAAGCAACGATAAACCATTGCTAACTAAAAACGATTCTGACCGGTGTTCAGTTAATAGTGATGTTTAAATATAGTATAAAGAAATATAATAAAGATTAATAGTTAAACGAATGTATTGAAATCGAAATTTATTTTATTTTAATATAGCTTGGTCTATAATCTATAGTATTGCTTTGTCATCAATTTCCCTTTTCATAACAACAATGATTGTTTAAAAATGATTATAACAATAATAACAAAAAAATAAATAAAAACCGTTGCAAATGACAAACTTTTTTTTATACTTTCATTTTTTTCTTTAACCTTAAGAACCAAGTTTTCTTCATTATTCCAAAAAATAACTTCTCTAAAGTACCACCCAGAGAACATTGCATTCTAGAAAAGATACTATACTTGATGATCGGAGTTAACGATCTGGTAGAAAAAGTGTTCACATGAAAAAAAAAAATAACAATAAAAGTAAACATCATTTTAAAACCAATACATTCCTTGTTCCGCTCAGAATCTAAATATCAAAATCGAAAATAACGAAACTATTAATGTCGATTTCTTCAACCGGCTTTTCGACAGTCTCACAATCGACGAACCTATTGAAAAACGTTTTCTTTCGGACGAAAATGCTACGCCTAAATATCGAATCCAGATTTTGCGGTAAAATAACACAAATATTGTATTATTGCTTACGGACAGAAAACGAAAACCATGCACCTCGTAAATGTTAATATCACGCCCGAATCGAAACCGATACGTTCCTCGCTGCGCTCCGAGCCGGACGTCGAAAACGTTCCGACAAATCGAAACACGTTAATAATAATAATAATAGTAATATACTCGTGGCACTCGCACGATATGATAATATGTACGGGTACGGTATGTTATTTTTTATAATCGGTTTTCGCGGGAACGGATCTTAAAACGGTACGGATGATAATGACAATACACGACGGTTCGTGTATTGTCTAATAAAAACCTCGAGCCAATCAACGCGTGTCGACGGCACAGGAAATCGTACGTGTAACCTGCCGGGCGCGTGTACGCGCCGGCATTGTGCGCGGATGTTGTTCGCGTACAATCGCAAACGCGCGTCGCACATAATCGGCCCGACTCGATTGCAGGCATTTCAGGGGAGGGCATGTTGTGCGGGTTACACAGAGGGGCACGCGGACAGTTTTGTAAACAACCGCGAATAACAATCCCGGGCGCGCGTGTATCGTGTACAATATTATGCGCACACGCTGCAGTAGGTATACGCCTAAATTGCACGGCTGTAAATAGGGATGTTCCGATTTCCGTTTCGTTTAACCCTTTGTCCGCGGACCGAACTTTGGATTTTACGGCGGGCGATGGCTCGGAGCGGATTCGAATGCGCGGTTCGGTACACAAATTAACCGCGCTGTATTATAACCGCCGCCGCCGCCGCCGCCGCCACGGCAGCGTATATTGCAGCGCAGCGGCGTAAAGGGAATATGACCCTCCCCTCACCACCCCTACACTCCCATCCCGACCGTAACCGAGGGTCGTGAGGTTTTTCGAAAAAAAATTCCCCGCGTTGGTTTTCTCTCCGTTTTCGAAAAGTTTATTTTCATTAGTTGAATATGGGCAATTGCCCGCGGTCGATTATGTACGGTGAATGTACGAACGATCCTTTCGAGGGACAACGTGTCCGTTGTGTTTTAACTTGTTAAACTACGCGACTGTGTTTACATAGCGATGTGATATACCTATAATACGATAGAACAATAATATTGGTGCCGATTAACGATGCTTCCGATTTGACGATGATTTACGATTCTAAGCGAAGTTCGGTCATACGTGTTTTGATTAGGCTGTAATATTCACGAATTGAAAATAAAAAATTTCGCACATTTTCCCGTTTTTCCGGGGTTATTTGAAGAAGGAAATTTTTTGATTTTCCCATTGGTTTTTATGTCAAATAGGAAAAAACGTAGGCAAAACGTGAAAGTGTACGAAATATTTTATTTTCAATTCGTAAATATTACGGCCTTCCAAAACATGTGCAACCGAACACCGCACAGAATCGTTTTTCGTTAGCAATGGTAAACCGTCGTATACAGATTAACATTACATTTCCAATCTACCTTCCCAACTTCTCACCTACAACAGTGGCCCGCCCATCGTGCGAAGCATGTCCGTTTTTTTTTTTTCTTGTTATAAGTTAACCGATGACGGCTAGCACTTGCATTATCGTTATATTACCTATAATAGTGATATGTTTTAAACTCGCCGCTAAAATCTCCGTCACTTTTTAAACACGCACATTGTAGCCAGCCTTAACTGACAGTTAAAATTTATCGGGGTATTTTAGCAACGGCCCTAAATCGTCTCACGTCCATTTCACCGTAACATAATATTATTGTCATCCAATACGTTTCCGCGTAATATATAATCTATGATTATTATAATATTACCTTCGGCGATTCCTACATTGTATATCGGATGATAATCGGCTATATTTTGTTACCGTTGTGGTTACAGCGCATCGCATTTAGACGACGGTATCATATTATTATCGCTATATAAGTAATGCTGTTACTAATTGTATTATCTATAAAGCCCCACGCCATGAGTAGCATGTCACAGTACTACCGGGTAATATGTATTATTAACAATGAGTATTGTTAAGTGCTCGCAAGAGCCTTATCGAAAACGAGTTTGAAGTTGGCAAAATAGATGCACGCACCTATAGTGTAATGTAGTCTTTACAGAAAACAACTATTATAACAAAAAATAATAATAATAATAATAATAATAATAATTGCAGA